CAGGTACATCTGCCCTCCTTTCTGCCATTGTCTTTCCCCGTCAGCCACAGTCATTGGCTGTGGCGGACCTCAACTTGTCCCTTTCTTATTAAAGGGAATAGCAGGTCTTGCCTAACGGTGATGGTGTCCCACGAGACCCGGTTCCCACGTGCGCCCACAGCATAAATCATTTTTCACAGGTTCACCATTTTTTGCTTTCGTGTACGTTTGCAATGCAACTTTGCGGGCAGGTGGTCGGTTCTTTTTGCTGGTGTCGGTAGTTGGGCGCCCTCAGCTGTTTGTGTCGCATGTTGGAGTGGGTTTCTTTTTCGGCGCCCTCCGCTGCGTGTGTCACATGTAGGAGTGTGCATAGGGCTAAGTTTCACCAAACGTTGGTCATGCGTATTGTAAATTATCACCACTGCTTTATTACCTCCATTGCAGACAATGAAGCACACTAACGATGAGCTACTCGAAGAATGAAACAGTTTTTTTTACCTCTAAAGCAAGCAACATGAAACAGATTATATCCCTTTCTTGGTTACCTTTACTTTGGCTTTCTTTAGGGTACCCCTTTTCTTTTCTCAGTTGAAAACAGTGGCGAAGGGGTGTGTAATACGTGGGAATTTGGGAATTTATTTTTATTTTTTCTGAGAAATGCTCCAATCTATTCGTGGGGAGTACTTCGTAGGAATCTACCACACAGTTTGAGAAAAAAAAAACAACAGTCCGGCGAGCCAAAAGAGACCAGCTTTCTGGCCGCCCTTGTTACACCAACAAGAATCTCGACTACGATTCACATTGAGTCTGACTGAGATCGGATTGATCCACAGACCTCCATACTTGATCTTCAAATTAGGATTTAGTGAATTTTAGTCATGATATGAAACTTCAAGCTCCACACAATTACTATCAAAGCGATTGGACATCAATGCTATTGAATTTGAGTATTCAGATCATAATACTTCTGATGAACACCTTTTCTTCGTTCTTGCACCTCCCCAGTTGCTGTACCCCTCTCAACGCTTGCCACGTTGATTGTGGTTGAGCGCGAGCTGCCCAGATCCCCGTGTGCCATAACGGCCCACTTGCACGCTATGAAATTAGGCAGTATAAAGGGTGTGCTTTAAAGGGTGTGTGTGTGTGTGTGTGTGTGTGTGTGTGTGTGTGTGTGTGTGTGTGTGTGTGTGTGCGTGTGCGCGTGCGTGTGTGTTGTCATGTTCACTTAGACAACTCCACAAGAAAAAGCATGACTGTGCCAGACTGTTTCGTTGGACCTTCACCGACTCATCAGGAGGTTGTGTCTGTGCGTGTGTTTTGCCTGTGTTGCACGTGCGAGCGTGCATAGGATCATGTTCCACCTAACGTTGGCCGTGTAATTTTATTTTTTTTTCCTGTTCTCGTGTGTGTCAGTACCATCCAGCCCCATGGAACAACCCGGTCCACACGGTTACATCCCACACACACAGTATCACCCAGCCCGCACAATACTACCCAGCCCACATAATACACACCCGCCCTACATGCTACCACCTACCTGTGCCAAGGGCCGAGTTGTGCCTTGTGCATGAGTGCTTTTCTGGGGCCATCTGTGCTTTTTCTTTTTCTTTTTTTTCTGGTGGCTGTGTGAGTTCTACTGCCATCTGGTGCGTCGCAGTGTGACACACCCCGCATGGTACTGTCTGGTCCACATGGCATCACCCAGGCCACATACTACCGCCCTGCCCCCCAAGTACGTGATGGTGCTACCCGCCCTGCGCCCACAGAACCACCCGAATCTACATACAACCACCTCCGACTGACACAATACCACCCTGTTACCCAATGGGCATAAACACCATAGCCAACCCACATAGCACCAAAAGGTTGTGCTGTGGAGAGTGTCCTGACACATTTTCCACTGTGCCACAAGCGAAGCTGTGGCGGGCAAACGCTTGTTCCTTGAATGTGTGATTGAGGCCATGCCTCTGGACTACGTTCAAGGCATCACCAACATGCACATGCATACCATGACAAAATGGGTCCTTAAACAACCAGCATTTTTCACAAGCATTTTGTTCTGCTGCAGCCATAAATGCACTGCGGCCTAAAATGCACAGCGACCATAAACGCGCTGTGACCTTCCAGGCTCAGCGAACCGAAACAAAATGGCTGGTGATGCCAGCCAAACTTTTCCAGTTTCATACCCACATCAGCTCCATAGAGCGTCGTGCGCGGCAGAAATCACCATCGGGAAAAAAGAGCCTCGAAGGTACTGGTTTTTTAAACTGTCAAAATAGGAGTTCACTTTACCAGGCTTACTCTTGATAGTCGCGCAGCAATATATGAAGAATTTAGGACCTGCAAGAAGACCTATTAGATCCACATATCCGCCCGAGAGTTTGCACTCTCTCAACGAAGAAGAAAGACCTCCGTGGATCTTATCCGGAGGAAGGATCTTGTTCGTCTGCGGCATCTGACTGACCCTCTTCGCTGCCTGCAAGGATTGGTTCCCCTCCCCAGCTACTATAGGGAAATGAAAAATGTGTCGGTGCGGACGCAAGGCACTAAAGGTCACAACCAAGACAGTGCTCATAGCTGAAAACAGGATAGCTTTCCGGTAAGAGACTTGTTTCCCTGTTGACCCAGATGAAAATCTGCTTAGCTGAGCCCAAAACAAAAATTGTAAAATTCTACGTCCCGACCAAAAGCCACCCCCACAGACTATCCTTCAAAGTACCCATTCAGTTGTACAGATGTACTTTCTTGGTGGCCATTCCTCTCATGTGCAGTTCTAGTGTACACTTGCTTAACCCTCCATCAATCTCGGGGCCTACTGCGTTCAGAGCGCCACATTTCGACATTTCTGAGCAAATACACAGCCTGATTCCTTTCCTATCGGTTAAATGTGGGCTGCCATGAAAAAAAAAAAAAAAAAAAAAAAACCTAACAGATGCAATATTGATGATTGAAAAGACTCTGCACGCGAGGCACTGGTAGAAAGGCATCAGAAGAGGTTTTGAATTACTGCACACATGGTGTTTCTCGTCTGGATTCGAACTTGGGTCAGTGTATAAATAGTACTGAACTGCTGCCCTTCATCCAACAAGTCTTTTCCATATTTCGGACAACTAGACATTTCTTTCTTTTCTTTTTTTTTTGCGGGGGGAGCGCACGAACGTGTGCCCCCCCCTACCACAAATAATGCCGTAGTAATACCGCTATGGGTATGACTTAGGCCAGGCGAGTCTCAAAGTGCAACGGCAGACCCTGCAACGTAGGCCGTCCGCCTTTCGTATGTTCTTCACCACTAGCTTTTTTCTCTTTCTTAAAAGGGCGCCGGCCTTAAATATCATTGTTGAACTGACCCGCCCCAGGTAATTCACTTAGTAATCTGATTGTATGAATTTGTATCTGGATCCGAACTTGGGTTTGTATTTCAACAGTTCACTGCTGTCCCAACTGAGCTAGGCCCGCCCTGTTCCGAATTTCCAAGAACTGAACTCGCTCCCGACCACCCTTTTACCGTTGGTCCACAGCGCCAGGGATCCCACATCCACAGGCCTTTGCTTTGCCAGCAGGGGTCGTTGACCCGATTATCAGGAGGCAGGAGGTTGTAATGGTTCAAGGTTCAGCTTGGAACATTGGTATAGTACAAAGCAAGATCGGAACAGGGAAAACAAGGTGGGACCTCCCACAAATTGTCACCACCTGATCCCACAGGCCAGTGAGAGCTCCGTGCGCCGTCACATACGGAGAAACTTCTACTGTAGGACTAAGTGGACCATGACTGGAGACACAAGGGTGGCAACACTGTAGCCTCGCCAAATACTGATCCCCGTGAAAGTGGGCTAGTTGTAAACGAAAATTGGGTGGCCCCGACCCACTATCGATACCGATAGTAATGTGCGCTCAAATAGGGTTCAAACCTAGGAAGATTTTCATGACCGGCCGGTCACCCGGGCGTGACGCCCGGCGGGGGGGTCTGACGCCCGGGATACCCGGGCATGGAAAAAAAAAAAAAAAAGTGGGGGTTTTCTGCGCTCTCCGAGAGGAACCCAAATCCGGGCTCTTTTCTTTTTTTGAGTGTCGGCTGTCAACGGGGGAAAAGGGGAGTATAAATGAATTTGGGGTTTAAAGGGGGGTGCCTTAGTGTGATTTGGCTATTTTCTTTTTTATCTTCAGTTCCGTGAGGAATTCTGATGTGACCCTCAGCCAAAAGTTGTTTGTACTGCAATTCTACAGAACTTTTCTTTTATGCGCTGGGGCTGCCCGGGCCCATGCCCGGGGGTCATGCCCGGGCCGGTCACCCGGTCGCCAAACCGGGCGTGACATCGGGACCCGGGCGCCCGGGATATCTCCCTAGGTTCAAACTCGTTCATTGACGAGCATTCTGCGGAATTAGTTCCACCAGCGGGAGTGCTCTCATTGTTATAATAAGATGTGCTGAGGCTTCGGAACGCGCACACTTTGTGAGTCCATCGGGTAATAAAACTGCTCGTTTTTGTGGGAGAGCTGAAGCCCACGTTTTAATGGGATAGCTAAAGTGAACATTTTTTGTGGGCTAACTTGGGAGTGTAATTTGCGCACAGAGTAGGAAACGGTGCACACTACATGGCACCGGTACCACACAGTGTGCACAGGCCCTCTGGCCCACGCCCTTGGGTCCAATGGAAGCGCTCACAATGTGAAGCCAGTCGCAACACGCAAAATGCTTCTGACACATGGAACACCAGGTGTCACTCTGGCGGAGGCTCTCGCTGAAAGCATCGGGTATGGTCTCCCGCAAACACATGCATTGAGGAACTTCCCTTTGAGTTGCACCAAGAGACACAGGGAGAGAAGTTCGGTTCAAACACTCCACAAGCATTCCAAGGAAACAAAACAGAGGCATATAGAAGCACACACACAGGAGAGGAGGGAGGGAGGACAAAGAGGTTGGGAGAGAGCAGGAGAGAACAACAAGATTCACTTGTAAAAACTAACACCAGAAGTCCCACCTTGAGTGCAAACAAAGGAACAAGAAACGGGAAGGGACATGCCTTTTGTGAAGGAGGATTGTGCTTCTCGCAGAATCTTGATAGTGGCTTGGCCCTATGAGTGCACTGTTTACCTAATAAGGTTGTCCCTTCGCAGAGCTTTTCCACCATCATCCCCCTACCACCCTTTTCATTCTCCTGCCTTCTCGACACTACCATCACTTTAGGAGATCCACCTTCCTCTTCAATGCCTGCCTGCCCAACATGCCAATCACAATAGGTGGTCCCCTGCCGCACCCTCTGCTTGCATCCCACTCCAGCCATGGTGATCCCTCGACAGACCTCGACCTTTCGTGGGGGCTCGCCTTCTACTCGCCCACTTCTCCCGGGCTCTTCTGGAGGTTTATTATGTTTCTTCCTTTGCTCCGTCTCAGGGGATACAGGCTTTTGCTTTTCTGTGTGATCCATCTCAAACGGTACAATGGCCAATGCCCATCTATCTTCGCTCGCATTTGCATCTTCGCCTTTCGACCCATCCTCAATTGCCAGCGGCTGACCGAGTTTTCCGGCTGCTCCGTCCCCTCCGGCTGCTCTATTGTCATCGTCTGCTGGGAGTGCACGTAATGCAACTTCATTGCTGCCGGAAATATCACTTGGGACAATCTCCATGATATTATCAGTCTCAAGCCTTTCATTTGTTGCCTTCTCTTCTGACGATCCTTTGTGCTTTTCACAGAACCGTTGCCCTGGTTTTGCCCGGTGTTTGCATGGCCTACCCAATAAAGTCATACCCTGGCACCAGTCTGCCTGCTTTGGTTCCAAAGCAGCATTACTACCACCCTCGCCACCTCCCGACTGAGCTGCAGCAGCAGCCATACCCTCAAGCCGCTCTAACCCCGCAACAGCATCTTCTAGTTCTTGGTCATCACCAGCACCCGCTCCTGCCCCTTCTTCAGAAAGACAGACGGGCTGCGAGAGCAAAGCCCCTGGAGCCGGTGCAGAGAGATCATCAGGCTCCCCTTCATAGACAACTATTGCACCTGACATAAGGTGTTCGCCGCCACTTTCTGCATCCGCTTCTTCTTCCAGGTTCGGTGCTCCAGTTGAGGCCATAATAAGCGCTCTGGCAGCTGGGTCTACACTTCCATTAGCTCGGGCCCTTTCATCTAAGTCCAGTCCAATCGGCACTTTAGTCCTTTCCTCGGAGTCGAACCCGACGGATGTTCTTCCTCGGTTGTCCAACCCAACTGCACCAGAGGAAACAGTTTCTGCAACGGTGGCGATAGCATTCGCTATCAAAATAAGTCCACTTTCCTCTTTTGCTTTGTTTCCTTGCTTGTGCTTCTCACAGAATTGTGCTCCAGGCTTTGATCGATGACTACATCGCCTCCCCATCGCTGTGATGCCTTCACAAATGGGAGCGCTCAGCTTCTTCTGGCTTGCCACTTTTGTACCATTCGCCGCCGGTGTCATTCCATGCTTGCCCGATGATCCAGGGGACAAGAGAGTCGCTCCGTCCCCCTTCTCATTGCCTGTCACAGACCGCTCATGCTCGGTTCCGTCACTGGCCAATAGACAGTCTAAGAAAGCCATCTTCTCAGGACTCCGGCTTTCTCTGCTTTCCCCATGCATCTCCTCCATGTCTCTGCCAGACCCTCCCTGACAAACAGACATGTCCATAACATCAGAGCTTTCCACAGCCATCACACTGCCCCCCACCCTTGCGCAATTATTATTCTGTGCGGAGACCGAGGCCCTTTTCGACATCTCGGTGTGAAGTGGACTGCCAACCATGGTGCCAACCTGCAGCCCATCATCCCCAGTCTCATCAGCATCGCAGACATTATTCAACATGGGAAGCACAGATGTCCTCCTGGAGCGGCTTTCAGGGATCTCCAAGCCTAGCCCTCGCTGGGCGATATCAGCTCCTTGCTCCCTCTGCGAGCCTCTTCTCTCTCCATAAGACTCAGAAAATGCCGCCAAATGCCCACCAACCGCCATATCGAAACCCTGATCCGCACCATGACTTGCAACACTGCCTGAAGGGACTGGGACTGGCAGAGAAGCAGAAGCATTGGGGCCCCCGATAAAATCCCCTTCGCTAATCTCTGTACCGTTTCCTATGTTCCATCTACAGCTAAGTCCAATTCCTTGCCTTAGTTCCTGCTCCAGAGGGCCCACAGCACTGAACCTCCCAAGCTCACAGCTGCCCGGCACATCTGCCATCGGCCCTGCTTCAAGCCATCCACCCCTTGAGGCCGCAACCATAAGGTCCGGTTCGGTTCCGTTGAGGTCGACATTTGACAAAGCCTGCGTAAGATCTATTGTTTCCTTCCTATTGTTTGTTGCGGTCGCACCCATATCAGCAAACATCATACCCTCCCCACGACCTCCGCTCGCCGCCATTCCATCACCGCCTGGAACGGCTGACATTCTGGAAGTCTCTACATGCTGGTCCATGATCCATCCCATGCCCAGACTTACCGTCTGCTCCCCGCCACCATAGCCACCATTAGGTATCCCAAAACCCATAGGCGGAAAACCAGTATCGACCCCAGCGACAGGCGTGCCGCTTCCAGCGGGATGGATAGCTGGAGGCAACATGCCGGCAGCCAAGGCCCCCATTCTAATTTGCTCCTGAACAACATCATTCGGAGGTTGCAACCCATGAACCATCCCATCTTCCTCATTAAATACAAAGTCTGCGCCATAGCTAGACGGCCAAGGCCCCTGCAAGACATGGTTACTCGTCCAGTCTGACCACAATGGCTGCGACTGCGCTGTGGGGATGCAACTACGTCGAACTGCCAGTTTCGCCCTCCGAGAACCCTGCATGCCTTCGAATCCCCCGCGTAAATCGTTGCCCCCTTCGTTTCTACATTCCATTTCAAACAGGCTGCTGTGTGTCCCATCTTCGGCACCCCTGTCCTTTGCTCCACCATTGCCAAACACTCTTCCCCCCGCGTCAAATGTGGCCCCACCCCCACCCCCACCCAGGGTATAGCTAAAACCCTCCTCTCGACCAAAACTTGATGCTGACACTCTTCGTGATCGGTTTTCAACCCCCATTTGGCCCATCGGTGCTCGGAAGTTTTCAGTTCCATTGTCATCTATCCTCCGTGGGACATCCCCCATCATGGGATCCAGGTGGTAACCATCCACAGCGGCTTCGTCCATAAAGCCGTGATGGTCCCCCCTCTTACCAATTATTGACGCCCCTCTCCCCTCAACAAACCCATTCATTGGAGCTTGCAAAGGTGCAGAAGGTTCCATCAAACAGGGCGACATCATCTCCACCACACCTCTACCACCCCTTCTTTGACGATCCAACATCCAGAATCCACCTTTTGAATTGTCCCATGTTTGTTCCATGCCATGACCCGGACGGGTTTCCACTTGCCCCCCATGAATATTCTCCCATTTCAACGCTTTCGCCAGCTCCTGCGATCAACAATTGAAATTAAAAAATCATCTACCATATAACAGGGACAACTCTTCGTGCACAAAAAACAGGCTGGTAGAGTGGCTCTCCGCTCATATGATCCCTTGGAGCTTTGTTTTTTTTTTTTTTCCCTTTTATCAAGTTTTATGTCTCTTGGAACTCTTACACATGCAAAGTTCCATATACAAAAAAAAAAAAAAAAAAGTTCCATATACATCACCCTGAAAAGATACAACACAGTGCTGACCTAGCATTTCAGATGAGATGGCAGGGTGTCTGCTTGGCAACAATGGCTGCCTGGGACCACCACCGCATGCCTAGAACAAACAGGAGGAAATTTTGCGAGGTGCAACTGGACACACTGCGATTCATCATCCGATGCATGGAACCTGGATGGCAGCAGTTCCATCTTTGATGCATGGAACCTGGCCGTCTTTTGACAACGAAACCTCCTTTCCCCATGTACCAAGCATATTGGCAGAACAAGACTAGGAATAGAGGCTGGGATCATTCTAAGATGGGGAAGGGAGACGGCAGGTGTGAACGTGTCGCAAGGGAAAAAAGGAAGAGCTTTCCCTTGTGCATGCACGCAAGGTCACCCATATATGGGAACATGTACATACTACATACCCAACATTCTGATAGCTAGAAACGCCAAAAACCACTGAACTACTGAATGCAGCCAGCAAGTATGATTACATCATGCAAATCATGCAGGTTTATGGGGAAACAAGCACCGCAAGAAGGAGCACAGAGGAAGGAAAGGGGAACAAAACAAGGGCACAACTGGCAGAGATTATCAACAACAAACAAGAGAGAAAGCATAAGGTGAAAGCAAGAATATTAACTTCCATAATTTTTCCAATTATTTGAATCTTTCAAAGAATAATAACTCTAGATTTTTTTATTAGCAAGTCTTTTTCATAATTTTTTAAGTTATAAAAGAAGTACAAATGAAAATGAAATAACAATGAAATAACACACACACACACACACACACACACAAATGGGGAGGCGAAAAAAGAGAGTGGGACATGCAGGAGAAGCAGAGGTTTCATTAGGGAGGCAGAAGGACTTATCACCAAAACCTACCTTTGTCAGCCTCTCGACTGTTACAGCTGTGTCAGCTTGCATGCAGTCCAATTTCCATCCCTCGTACCTGATTCGCACCCAGTCTGCACTAAATGCATCCTCCAACAGCATCTGGCATCAAAGAAAAGAAGACCATGGCACAAGGATTCGGCATGCTCAGTTTCTTATCTAAAGATAATATTTCGCGGAACAAAATAACAGGGAACACCTCAGCGCCGTGCACCACAAACAAGCTAGTCAACAAAACAGCACATAGTGACCCAAATACCCAAAGATCGTTCATGAACAACTTGATTACAGGAAACCACAGTAATCCAGTTTTGTGAACCTAGCAAATTCACTAATTGGCGTACTAATTGCCAGCTGAGACTCATCGCTACAGGAACAAATGCACTTTCTATGATCATGAGAGGTCCAGAAGGACACAACAAGAAGCCATGGACATAAAGCATGGAGGGCGAAGGCAAAAGTTGCAAGTTAAAAAGAGGAAAAAGAAAGAGTTGCCAGTTTAAGTTGGCCTACCTGCGCAGGGGCTGCCGCACGGAGGAGCAAGCGAAACACGCGTTCTGGGAAAGATGGAGCCTGTACCCGCAACTGCTCAACCACGACCCCCAGACGGGCCGAATGCGGTTTGGCCCGATATTCATGCGCCATGTACCTAGTCCCCAAGATGACGAGGACTGACCTCAACCGATGCGTACCATAGTTAGGAGAGATGGGCGGGATTGTATGGGAGCTTCCGATAATCGGAGGGAAATAATTGTATTATAGTACGGGGCAGGAGAGGGAGTGTTCACTTATAGAGGGGGGTAAGAAGGTAAAAGGGGTCAAGAAAATGCTGGGGTTAGAACATAGCAATCGTGCAGACAGGTATAGTGCGGGACCCAAGGTAGTGTGGACCTTTTTCGGCCTTCTTCGGCCACTTTCGGTGCAAAAAACTACAAAGGATCAAGCCTAGGTGGATAGGATTAAGGTTTAGGGATAGGAAGGCAGATTTAAAGCCAAGAAAAACTTGATGGTAGGAGAGGTAGGATACCAAGGACAGAAGGGCTCAGGGATACAGATGACATGGGGATAGGAGGCAGAGGAAATGCTGGGCTCAGGTAGACATAATGCGAAGGTGCGAGTAAGTAACAGGCAGCCCGAGAGGCTGCTAGGACGCCCCTCCCCCCCTCCTCGTGCCTTGACCCCTTAGGGATTGTCCTGCAGTGTGCCTGGGTGCTCTCCTAGTAAGCTTCCCAACTTGCAGGCCAATCCCGAAGGGAGCGGGCGGTGCTGGAGCAACCCCCCCTTGGATAGGTGGCTCAAGCCACAAGTGTAGGCTGACTATCTTTTCTGTCTAATCCCTCCCCCCCAATGCTTGTTTCAAAAAACTTTGCTTGCCGGTGATAAGCAACTGGACTGATGCCCCCCAAGAATAGAAGGGGCTGGAAGTTTTTTTTGTTAACCATACTACCGTCTTCACCTGAATAGAACGCCCGGTCATTATCGCTGTATGCGGACCGAAAGTTACACCAAATACAGCTATAATGACCCGACGTTCTACTCAGGTGAAGACGGTAGTACCTTTGTCGGTTGGGAAAATAGCGGGCCTCCGACCTTTCAGGAGGCCGAAACGAAATGACGGTCGCCGATTAGATTTATCAATGGCAGCCGTCGTCGGGCCCGGCCTCCGGATTCTTCGGGGACTGGCGTTTTCCCTCATTTCCGAAGCGGCAACGGTACCAACTAGGTTTTAAAATAAAGTTGCTCCATCAACTATCAATAGGACCAGTGGACCACAAGTAAGACTAAACTCGCCGGCCCCTGGCTTCCTGGCGCAGTTCATAACAGAGCCTGTTCATCCCGTGTTCTGCCACGCTGCTGGACCTAAGGTATAACCGCTGGATGATCCTATGCCAACTGAAAGAACCAGCCAAACACACTCAATGGAGCCCATAACCGAGAAACAGAATGAAGACAACTGTTATGTGTTTTGTGACTTTTGCCCCATCCACTGCACTCTCTGTTCAAGCTGACAACATAAAACAACTATGCGTTCGTTGAACTTCGTTCCCACTTCAACCAGCCAGAGTTGTGTACCTTCCGCCCAACGACACAGTACTGACTGGCATGGAGGCGACTATTCGCTGTATTTGAAGTCACCTCACTGCAATCACGTACGGTCATTATTGCTGTATCTAGACCCAAAGTTGCTCTCTTCAAATACAGCTGCATGGATGACTAGTTGCTGTATTTGAATTCACCTCACTGTCCACAATCATGCACAGTCATTTTATTTCTGTGTCTAGAGACAAAGTCGCCCGAAATACAGCTATACTGACTGAACGTTGTATTCGGGTGAAGAAGGTAGGGCTTTTTCTACAAAGCTCTGGACGTGATTGCCGTCAGATTCATTCAGGTGCGGCTGTTATTGCAGTCAGATGCATTTGGGAAAAAGTGCTAGTCTGAGTCTCTGCTCTCAGGCAGTCAGTCGTCCTAGGACAAAATCCCGCTTGCCTGGATTCATTGCTCTGGAACGGACCATAGATTCGGTCGATCAGCGGTAAGATACACCCGACATGGATCACTCGGGTCATGCTGCTGGCGATGCAGATCATGCAGGATTTCAACGAGTCAGTGCTAAGGTGCACACCTTTTTTCTCTCTGCCTCTTTTTTATTTTTTGCCTGAAATAGATCTGCATTCCTTCATCATTCCTTGTCCCATTTTTCCTTTTTCCGGAAGGCAAGAAGGGCGAGAGAGTGATCCATGACATACACAAACGCACCGTCGATAGCTGCAGAAGAAGACAGCAGAGAGAATTGTAGGACACGGCAGTTGCTGTATCGGAAGCAAACTTCTTCCACACCGACACGCTTCTTGCCGCCTGCACAATGCTCTGTGATTTTGAACACAACAGCGTCAACAAGCCGAACAAACAGAGTAGACAAGTCAAAACAGAAGGACAGCAGGGCAAACAAAGCAGGAGACGTAAAACGGGCCAACGGGCGAAGAAACCGAACAGATAGAAGAAACCAAAATAAAGAGGGTGTTAGAAGCACTGCCGCGAGGCGGCAAAACCACATAGATTGCCAAAGAAAAAGGCCAAAGGACGACCGAGCAAAAAGCACAGAGTATAGCATAGAGTAGAATGGGAATAGGAAGCGAGGAACAGTGGATGCATGCACGGCACGGACTAACACACATGCTCCCTCAGAGCCCAGCACACTTGCACTTGCACACTTTTCGATCACAACTAAGGCACTAACACACACGCTCCACCAGAGGCCCAGCACTTGCAATTGCACACTTTCCGACTAAAACTACGCCTGTTTCCTCCGCTCCGAGAGCAGCGCCCCTGCACATGTGCACCCCATGCAGAGCACACCCAGCAATCCCTAGACACATACACAGCCACCTGCCGGAGTCACACTTGTACAAACTCCACTAACTTACCCACAAGCAGATGCAAGAACACGATCCATGCACCCACATAGTAAAAACTGCAACAAAACAACAACAACAACAACAACAACGACAGCAAAATAGCCACAGATAACGGCGGATATGTGTACAAAACCTTGTGAACATCCATCGAGACTGCTCCCACACAAACACGATGGTAACTGCATGACTTGAACTGCTGCCTGGTACCTGCCACGGCGCCGCGTTTTGCGCTGTGTAAGAGGAGGAGGCAAGGCACTCCAATAGCAACCTTGATCAGCCTGGGGCAACCAAGGGATAAGAATGCAGCCCCAGCAACCTGAACCACTGGATTGCCGTCAGAATGGTTCACATCCCATGGCCGCACGCTTTGCGCTGTTTTATACAATGGGGAGGCAAAGCACTCCAATAGCAGCCGAGCCCCACGGCGGCCTGGGGCAACAGTGGAAAAAACTGCAGTCACCGACGTGAGCCACTGGGCTGCAGTTGGAGCAGTTCACATCGACAGCCACAGTTCTTTTACCTATTTCGTCACTGCCCAAGTTCAGACAGTCAACCCTCGGGCCAAAGAAAAGTTCTGACATTGCCCATGTGCCTGAATGGCCCACAAGTAATGGTTAGTAAACAGAGTATTAAACCACCGGTGCTTGGCCCAGCTATTGATGCCGAGCCGGGAAACACCCTCTGCGCGCCAAGTTTTGCCGAGCCACCGTCGCGTCGTTTCGGTTTTCTTTTTGGCTGGCGCCTCCAGGCATTGTGGTTCAGTAGCCCGAAGCCGATCAGTCGCGGCGCGCTAACGGGAAACGCCCGCGGCCGATGTATGGGCCAAGTACTGGTGGTTTAATTCAGATTCTCATGGAAATAGATGAAACAACACGAGGACACTTTTCCCTTCTGGCTTAGATCAAGTGGAGTATCTGAAGATTCTGAAGAATCCGAACTGATCAGTTTCATGTCTTGTCCGCGGTCCATCAGACCACAAATTAAACCAAAAAAAATAGAATAAAAAATAAAAACTTAAAAAAAGATATGGAACAAGAAGAGTTTCAACATCTTTCACATTCTTTCAATTCACCTTCACTACCTACCTAAGGCTTATACAGTAGACAGACTCTGGTGGAGTAAATCGTTGGGGAACCTGCAGTAGGGGCTGTCTGAGGGGGATCCTCCAAGATAGGATGGTCTGGGTCCCATAAATTAGTTGCTGACTGTAGATAGGTACCTGTCGTGGGTCCAGAAAGCGACCTCTACAACACCCTGGGCTTTTCAAAAAAAAAAAAAAAAAAAAAAAAAGGCTTATACAGTGGACCCCTGCGAACATAGCTTTGTTGTCTCCCTCCAGCCATCAGAGGGGGTGCATATTGGCCCCCGCCCCAACCGTGGTGGTCAAGGATGAGATGCGGCCGAGAGAAGAATATAGCGTAGTTTAAAATAATAAAAAATAAAAAATAAAAAAGAAGAGTTTCAACAGTGCCCAAGCAGTCCGCACCATATACATTAGGACGGCAGTGAGCTTCAATAAACAGCTGGCCTTGAAGGCCAGAAAGAAGAAGAAAAAGGTGCCCCAAAAAGGCCTAGACCCCGACACGAGTTCTTTTTTTCTTTTTCCCTGACACTGGTAAGCTCAGAGGCAGTGGGGCTCTAAAGCACCAGTGGGGAGCCCAGTCTTTAAGAAAACACCCACCAGTTAACGCAAGGCCACGGAAAGGCTCAAAGTGCCCAGAGTGCCCCTCAAGGAAAGGGTGGCGGTGCCAGACAAATTGTGCACCGACACGACTTAAAACTTCTGAAGGGCTGGCCAAGAAATAAGCATCGAGAACATGAGGCTTGGAACCAGTGGTGGTTATTAATTTTGTTGGTCTTTTATATTATTCGGATATGAGAATCCGACAAGAATATAGGCGCACAACACGTAACACGCGATCAGAGTAAACTGGATGTGTCAGCTCCTCCAGTAGGATGCAGCTGGGAGGCATGGCACACATGAAGTACCTGCCCACGGTAGGTAACCTTTTTTTTTTTTTTTTTTTTTTAACCTGCACACAGTAGACTCAGGAATACTTGCAGATCGCAGTTCTAGTCTGTACGCAACCCATCTAGAAGTATGGACCATACATGCGGCGCATCGCGATGCGCTGCACTGCACACGTGCGCCGCACCACGCATCCCGCACGACGCGCGCGCACTGCATGTGGCGCACCTAAAAAAATGGGGGTCAAAAAGAAAAAAAACAAGTTGTGAGGGGCGGTAGTAGACCCGGCCCCCTGCTCGCGTAAAATATGAAACGGGCAGCCAAATTTTTTTTGGAGGCTGCGCATTGGCTTGAAAGTTTTTAGTAACCTGTAGTTCGGGTAACACTCTGTGTGTGTGGTAGGGTATTGCAGTCTGTATGGTAGGGTTCTTGCAGGCCAGATTCAGTCATGATGAGGGTCGCGATTTCTCAAAACGTTCTCTTCTTATTACTTCGGAAGTAGAAAACGACGGAACTGACAGCCGTTTTTCCTGGAATGCTTTTTTTTTTTTTTTTAAAGGAAGAAAATCAGAATTTCTTTGCACGAGTGTCGC